CCCAAAACCCCAAAACCCCAAAACCCCAAAACCCCAAAACCCCAAAACCCCGCCTCGTACCATAAAGTAATGGCTAAACATTAGATATTTTGAAAACACGTTAAATTAATTATTAGATTTATGTATATACGCTTTCATATCCCCTTATTCACAATATGAGTTTTTACAAGGTGAACTGGTAGGATACTTGAGTAGACTAGATAACAAATCAGTCTTCAAGTTCTACCTGGTTTTGTTTTTTAATAAGGTTTTGATTTCACTACTATTACATATCAAAGTTTTTCTCATTTCCTTTGGATTTGCTGGAATTTGAATAAACTGATTTACTCGAATTCGAGCAAGGATTAGGGGAGTAAATCTTTTTAGAAATTTCAAATATTTTTTCTATCGTCCCTCTGACATCGATTATTTACCTATCTTAATTTATACTGCTTAGAATGTCAGACTATAAAAATAAATTAATTGAGTTGGAATATTTACAAGTATTAAGAGCTCATTATCCCATGACTGTCCAAAAAAACTTGGAATGGGTATACCATTAGATAAATTATATCCAAATGCTTATATTGAATTATCAACGATAATTGTTTTTGAGAGGTCTCTCCCTAATTGCGAAAGATCCTTTACATACAAGCATTAAGGTGAACCATTTATTTAACTCTATTCAATCAGCTAGATACAAGAATCGCGATAGAGTCGGTGTTTGAAAAATTTATTTTCAGGGTCTATTTTATTAAGAATAAGATCAGCATAAGATTTCTAAAAAAATATTTTTTTAAATAATTTTACATCGCTTGCCGTAAATATTACTATTTCATACTGCGCAGACATTTACTAAATAAATTCTAGTAGATAGGGGCGATAAGCAACAAAGAGCTATATAATAAAAGTGAGTAACACAGGTAATTAGATGGATTATTTTTATTATTCTTCTTATATTACCTATAAGGATTTAGGAGATCCCTCATTGGAAGAAAAATTATGCGATACTGGAATAATCTCATTAAATCCGTAGAAGGCCTCAAAACTGCAATGAACCAAGGTTTCGTCCATATCAAGGACTAGTGTTTTTTAATTCTAAATACTCATGAACTTTATTTTGATTACTTAATTTTCTAATGATGGAAGTAAGGGTTATACGTTCTGCCTATTAATTATCTCAGAATATGGAGGCAAACGTCTCACTGTCTCGATACTATATACCGATTGTTAATAATTGATTATTTGTGAGGGAAATCTCTTACTTTTGCTGGATTGTTTGCAAAATCAAGTTTTAGATATATTTTTGTTACTGTTAATCGTTAGGTTTTATCAAATTTTCAATTGGAGCATCTTCTTATATACTTTGAGGACTATCATCTTTTAGATCAGAATCACTCATTGCAATATCCATATCCTAGTTGCTATTTTCTGATAAAATGCTTTACTCATTAAAATGAAGATCTACTGAGGTTGAATCAGTCTTTAAATCTATGTTTTCTAAAAGATTTTATATAAATTTGAAATATACCGTCGTCCATTTATTTTTTATAAGGCTCTTATCTGTGTTAATTAAATTAAGATTTACTCTCGCTATTTTACTAAGGAGTTGAGAAGCCTTCTGAATTTGCAGCTGCTTCAGAGGTATTACCTTCTTAACTTTCATTGCTATGGCATTTCTGAATGTAGTTATCATATGTTTCTGAAAAGGTCATATCACCACACTCTGCAAATTGAGCTTTTGGTTGTTCTTATTGTTCAAATTAGATGTCCAGGTGCTGTCTTTCTCTATTTATTTTCTAGTGTGAATGGGCTGTTAGCCTATTATTTTGATTTCTAGGTAAATAAGCTGAAAGGGGCTAATGATTACATCTTGAGTAATCCTTTTCCAGCTTAAATAGGGTTTAGTAAGATGTTGATAATTTTTTGTTTTGTATATGTTTCATTTAGTAGGTGTTTTTGTTTGAATTGTATTTTTATTATAAGTTAAGAGGCAATAAATTAACTATTCGCTTTTTTAAATATATTGTTATTTTTCTATTTAAGTTACACCAAAGTGTTCAGAGAAGGCTTTTTGGGGTTTTGGGGTTTTGGGGTTTTGGGG